ATGTCTAACAAGCAGGTGAGCTACATGCATCTTCATCTCTCCAGTCTCCCCACATGTCACCGAAAAACGATATCAGTTGGTAGGTTGTCAAGTTCCACCTTTTTCAGTTGATAGAATTCATAACAGGACCCAGGGGAGTAGACTAAAATATGCCGGATTCAATAAAAAAAAATAGTTTCTAAAAACATTCCAGAACATGCACAAAAGGTGATATATTTGTACTGTTGATATGTATTACAGAGCCATAAAGTTCCGTGTATTTGTATTGCATAGATCCCTTCTTCCAAAGCACTGAGTTTTCCTTGTGTGGTCTATAGTGGCTTATGTGACCCTTGGGTATAAATTTATTCATGTGTACATTTTTTTCCAATATCGATTTAACTTGGACACAGTCCCATATGAATCACTGCATCGAGGAAATACTTGATTCAATGCAATTCATTAAAAAATACTTGTTGAATATTATTGAATATTAAAGAGCTGCAGTAATTGACAACCAGATCTCACTAGGTCATTGCGTAAGTACATCCATCCACTCATCTTCCATAACCGGTCATCCAGTGATGGACATCCTAGGAAGTAGTGATGGTCAAATGAAGCTTCTTGAACCAATTGCTGTATTATCTGACACCACTAGATGGTGCTCTCTTTTCAAAAAAGGGCTCAATTCAAGCCGCAAAGCAAAACAAGAGCGCCATCTATTGGAATAAAAAAATACAGAACATGGTTCATGCTTCATTTGGACATCGCTATTATTAAGGACAGGATACAAGGCATGGGGAACTACATATATGTAGAAATGAAATGAAATGAAATGGTATATAGATCTGGACAAACGTTCCTTTATTACTTTGCATAGAATTTACTTACTGCATAATATTTTTTTTGTCAGTCAAACATTATGGCAGTCATCACGAGGCCCAACAGTCCCCCAGCCGTTAAATATATTCTTCTCAACTGCACTGTTCCAGGATGATATTAAAATGAACGGCAGTGGAACCTCCAGGTAATATGAGGGCACAATGTACATTTTAGAGTAGCTTTTACATTCTGTGAGGCGTGCCGTGAGAATTTACGGCGGTGGGCCACTATATATCACGGTAAATACAGCATATGGTTACAGAGCAGGTGTCAAGAACCGGTGATTAAAAGTCCCCCCTCGCTGAAGCCCGAGATGTCCCTCGAAGTTAACCGTCAGGTTCCAGATCGGGCCTTTTGCGTTAAATCATCCTCCTGTTTTTCTTTCCACGTGAGACACTACCGTGCCTGAGCCAAGCCAGCTAAAATCCGCCAGACCGAAAGCCGTCCAGAAAAATAAATAGCCATCATCTTCTGTGTTTCTGTTGGCAAATTATTCCATTTAAGCTCTGGTTCAGCCCAAGACATGAGAGCATTCAGTGTAGAGCTCAGCTATTGCAACTATTTGTAACAGACCTCAGTAACACTGGGGAAAAATCCAGTGCCAATCAGAAGATGCATACAGAGAGAACAGTCCCATCACCAATTCAATACTTTCACATCCCATGTTAAATTAATGATATGTGCTGCAATCTAGTTGATGCAGAACGAAATCAACCTTCAATTTCCTACTATCTCAACTTTTTTGAGGTTGTGGCATTTTTAAAATTTTATTTCATGTTGTCTGTTTATAGTCCTCATGGCAGAGACCTCCCCACCCCACCCCTCACCCCACCATTCTTGATAGCTTTCCATTGTCTGCCTACCTGTCAGACGCTCCCAGGGCTCTCCGACCTAGCATGCTATTAAACCAGCACGTTTCAGGTTCTGGAAGCATGCCAGGTCTTTGCTGGACCTCCTGGGTATTTTTATTTGGCTTTTTCTACCATCAGAGGTATTCACTGGTCCCCGCAAAAAATCCTGGGAAGGTACTGTCTTTTGGACCCTTCTGGGCCTGTTCCAGTTCACTGTCATGCCGTTTGGTTTGAATGGAGCCACTACAACCTTGATGGACCAGGTGTCACATGGCTGTGAGGATTGCGGTGCAGTTCACCCGGATGATACAGTTTTCCATGGCAACAGCGACCATCTCCAGCATGTCTACATGTCCACAGCATACTCAACAGAATCCATAACCCTGGCTTGTCCCTGAACCTACAGTAATGGAAGGAGCAAAGCAAGACCATCTACTGTCACCGTTCTAGCTTATCTAACACAATCACAAGTGGAACACTTATTCCGTGTGACTGGAGGTGAACTATTTAACTTCTCTTAATGGTTTTCAGATATACAGCCTTCCTCCATCAGTTATCCACAAACTACCACCACTGCAATTATTTTGAGAAGCACAAAATCAAATGCAAAGAGCATTAATTTCAACACAAAGGGAGTTGCCTTCAGGTTTAGTGGTAGGGAAAGGATCTTTGAGAACTTTTAATACAAATTAGGTTATTTGGATTTTGGATTGAAACCTCATGTGGCAGTGACATGTGTGGAGCAGATGTTACTGTTTCTCTGCATTGCAGGCATTTTTTTTTTACCAGGTTGGGAATCAGTGTTGTGATGCAAGGTTTCTTGAGACTGAGCCGTTGCCCACATTGGAAACAGTTTGCGTTCGTTTATTTTACAGCTGTGATTCCATTGGTACAATTGAAGAGCCACTGTATAAAAGGATGGGGGGAAAGGAATACAGCTGGGCATGTGAGACTCGGTGGGGCGTGTGAGCAATATCTGAAACTTTGCCATGAAGAAATGCTTGAAAACAAATATGGAGCATCCAGGGCTGAGGGCTGGGGGCTGGGGGGACGCAGATCGGAATCAAGCCAGGATCCCTGTTCACGAATACATTTCAAAAATAAGACTCAGAACAGCAATCGAAATCAAATGCTATTTAGCCTGGGTTTTCCGGTCAAGTTTGTCACAAGGCCCTTTGTGGTCATCAGTGGTCAAGGTGGACTCACTCAGGCAGTAAAAATTCTAGCTCTATGCCAGTGTTTTTCAAACCAGTCCTCAGGGATCTCCAGACAGCACATGTGGAACGTCTGGGGTTCCCCAAGGACAGGTTCGAGAAACACTGCTCTATGTGATAGTTAAGCGGCACTGCAAGTGTGATGCTGTGGATACACTCTTAGACTTAATTTGCTTCCACGTAAGACATTGTTGGATCATCACATGACATCAACTAAAGGAATACTTGCATGGTTCTACTGCTATTTTTTAATTCAGATTAGTCTTGGAACATGTGCACACATGCACACGCACATCTGTTTTATTTTACATGAGATTAAGACACACGGGTCTCGCAGTTAATTCCAATTACTCTCTAAATGAATGTTTACGGGCAGGCTTTTAAGAGAGTGCTGTTTACTTCAAGTGCTGAGCTGTCACATATGCCGGTTTCAAAGACGCCAGACCAAACCCCAGAATTCCAAAGGGTTCTGCCATGTCTGAGAAGGTGACAAATTCTGATTTTACAACTACAGTTCACGCTGCGATAAACATGATTTTCTCTATTTAGTTAACACCCCTGATTACATGAGTGTAAACATCTGTCAGCTCGGGGCAATTAAATATGAATCCGATTACATCCCTATCCGTTGAGGGTCTGTTCTGATGCCACTTTTAAAAGGAATGGCTATAAAATTTGGGCACAAATTATATCCCACTGAAAAAAAAAATCATCCAACAGAATACTTTTATAAATTCATGAAGGTCGGACTCACTAGTCAGCTGTCCTGAAAAAAACTTCACGTCTATGTTTAGAAAGTTTAAGCATAATTGCAAAATCTGAGTATTCATTTGTAATACTGTTAAAATGTATTTATGAAGTTGTAACACAATATGCTGAAAATCAGTGTGGGAATCCTTGAATGGGATACAGGATCATTTACGCAGTCCACTTCCTTTTTGGCCTCAGTCTGATATTCAGACAAAAGCAATCGATATCGCACACGCCTCCATGTCCAGCCACCCTGTTGTTGTGCTACAGCCAGGGTCTGTATTTGTTAAAAACATCAGGTGTGGAATGGAATATTTGCAGCCACATCAAACGAGCCCTCCCTCTGAAATTCGCTACAGCTACTGATGCCATTGGTGGGCCAAGCTCGAGTCGCCAGAGCGAGTGCCCTGCCATTGGTGGGCCAAGCTCGAGTCGCCAGAGCGAGTGCCCTGCCATTGGTGGGCCAAGCTCCAGACGCCAGAGCGAGTGCCCTGCCATTGGTGGGCCAAGCTCGAGTCGCCAGAGCGAGTGCCCTGCCATTGGTGGGCCAAGCTCCAGACGCCAGAGCGAGTGCTCTGCCATTGGTGGGCCAAGCTCCAGACGCCAGAGCGAGTGCTCTGCCATTGGTGGGCCAAGCTCCAGATGCCAGAGTGAGTGCTCTGCCATTGGTGGGCCAAGCTCGAGTCGCCAGAGCGAGTGCTCTGCCATTGGTGGGCCAAGCTCCAGACGCCAGAGTGAGTGCTCTGCCATTGGTGGGCCAAGCTCGAGTCGCCAGAGCGGTGGGCCAAGCTCCAGACGCCAGAGTGAGTGCTCTGCAGTAACACATCTGCAGCCTGATTGGGAGATCAGTTCAGGAGCTTCTTCTTATTGGATTAACACTTACTAGTTGTCAGTTAAATCAGATTTTAATACTAAAATTCCAGTGTAAATGCTATTTTATGTGTATGAAGACATTGCCGCCTGAAGGTAGATCAGTTAATAAGGACATTTTAACAAATAACAAATAAAGATCTGAGGTTGTGAGGATATATGTGCTTGTGTGTATGTCAGAAGATTCCGTCTGGATGTCTAAGTAACGGATTATGAGGTGCATGATTATAACTGTATCAGGTGCATGATTCTGAGCACGACTCCATGTACACTGAAGCAGGAAAGTGCTGTATTTGCACCATGCTAATTCCCAGGTGAGGTCATTCTTCATACCTGAGAGTCACATATGTCTGTTTGGGTAAAGATACTGTCCTTAAAAGTTTTCTTGAAGAATTTGTACTAACCTAAGAAAGTAGAAGTGTTACGGTTTTGATAAGATAGGAAAATAAACCTGTTGGATATCAGTCCATTTTATTTTGCTGTACAACACAAATATGATACAATCGGAAGCTTTAGAAAAGAGTAGGATGTTAAGGAGGCCATGAAATCAGTGGCTTGACGTGGATCATCCATCCATCCATCTTCTATAACTGCTTTCCCAGTACAGGCTTGCAGGGAGCTTGGACCCAATCCCAGGACACTCAGGACACATGACAAGGGACACCTCAGAATGGATGCCGGTGACATCACACAGCGCATGCAGTAAATATTTAACCTCTGCATATTTTACACTTCCGACATTTTCCAGACAGAAAAGAAAACAAAACATCCTGGGTAAACGCTTCGCCAAAATCTGAGTGTGACAAAAGCACCACATCATTTTTAAAAAGAATCATCATGAAGGAATATGATGGATTTTAGAAGACCTTCGACTGCTGGACAAATTTCACCAAGTTCATCTGCCACTGTCAAACGCAGGAGTGTTCGTGACCCAGACACGACAGTTCAGTTCCTTACCTCCCAGACGGCTGTGCTCAGTACGATACTGAATCTCTGGTGAGGTTTTGCAAGGCGGCGAAATACAACGTGGAAAAAATTATTTCATTTGCAGTGTTGACCTTGGCTTGCAGCTTCGTTATCACAATATTGTTTTTCCTGCAACAGGAAAGCATTTCCCAAAAGCATCAAGGTGATGGAGGTCATCCAAGATCAAAAGTAGCAAGGTCCAGAGATATTCAAAACAACAAGGCTCTGGTTCGATATTCCTTTGTCCCTTAAGCTGCACGTTTTCTTAAAGCCAGAATGGAGAAGACAGGTGGCCGCTGACCAGGAAAGAGCTGCCCGGTTTATCCAAAATCAGATCGCATCTGAAAGCCAAATAAGAAATGTTTTCTTGTGCTGGCAAAACCATTGCGTCAGTTTAAAATACGGCTGCCAGTTTCATCGTGGTGAAAAGCTATCTGTTCTATGTCACACAAAAATCAGCTCGAAAATAAATATTCAAGCCCTGTTAGTCATACAGCTAGGCTGAAGTCCACCTGGTTTACCCTGTAATTAATGTACGTAAAGCACTGTAAAAAAATGGTGATCTGAAATTATAATAATATAACAATACATTTTATTTATAAAGCGCTTTTCAAAAACTCAAAGACGCTGAAATAATGGTGATAGCTTAGGTTTAGCCATGAGCTTTGAATGCTGTTTTTCTTTGACAGATATGTAAAGATTATTAGCCAGATCCTATTTAGACAAAGCCAACAATGTGCATGCATTTTCCAGACAGTTACAGCGCAGAGAAAACAATAAACATTCTATTTTATCATCTAGCAGGTCATAATGCTTGTGTGTGATCTGTTTGATGCTGGCATTGAAATTAGGACAGTAATAAAAACAAGTACACACCCAGAAAAAAGTCCAGCAGTGGATTCCTGTGCTGTTTTAAGCACAACTGTGGGTAGCGCTTACGTCTGTGTCTCGGGAAGTTGAGAAGGTGCACCTAAAGAAAGTTCCGGAGATATCAGATGGCCAGGTCCAAGAATGTCCACTGTCCACTCCAGAATGCTTTCCTACATACTAGATCCAAGCCATACTTTTAATCTCTTAAAAATTACAGAAAAATCATGTTAGTACAGAAGATGCTTGGGACATGACATATTAGAATTCATTTAGCATGCACCCGTCTCACAGAGTAACGGTTCAGCTAAAGTAGGAATGATAGCGATTTATTGAGAGAATACAATGATTTTTTAAATGTGGTATGCTTTAGTTCCTGATGCTTGAGGGGTAGTCCTGGCTGTACAGAGGTCAGAAGGTTTGCCAGGGGGGAGGGAAAGTTCTGAATACCGGAACGGTATTCAGGCGGGAAGGTATGGCCCTTTATAAATGGTTCGGTACATCGTGACAACTGATGTGGGGCCAGTAAAGTCTCCCTGGGTGAGTCTCAGTCCATCAGTCAAACCGTAGGTTCGTGTTAATCTTCTGGAGCCACACAACCCCTTTAGGTGACCAGAAAAGCCCTTTCATGCGACAAGTGAGATGTGTTAGTTTGTAGAAACTCTTTCCTGCTCAATTCAGAAACTAAACATGGCGAGACTTGCATAAAAAAAAACATTCCATCTATTTCCCAAGGGGCCAGAAATATTTCTTGAATATATATCACACTCTGCACGAGTTGTGCTTTGTAAATAAGAAATCTCCAGACCGAGGGTAAGAAAATAGTGAATTATTTACATAATAAAGTACATTTAAATGAGCAAGTGTTTGTTGCTTTTTTATTCAGAATGCAATGGACCTGTGCTGGTGCAAAGGGCAGAAATTAAGGTGGAAAATTACAAGTACAAACCCAGGACCCCCCCCACCCACCCCCCCACCGACCCACGCGTTGGCCTCCACACGGAATGTTCTCAACACTTTAGCCTAATCGAAACCTACATTTAAGACTTTTTTTGGGGTGGGTTCTTGCTCACAAGCAGACATCTTTTCAAAGTGACTCTGTTGAACGCATCATTCGTTATCATTTCAGCCCCCATCCAGATCGTCAGGCGGCTTGTTTTGCCTGGACGACGTGTCAGCAGGTCCTGAGTTTGGAGGCAGAGTCTGCAAGCGGAGGGCCGGGCCCATGCAGCGTCATAAATGTGCATGCTCCGAACTCTGGTCGCTGTCGCGGCTGTCGTCGTTGGTGAGGGAATCCCTGGAGCGGTGCATGCCGGCGATGCCGGAAAACTCCGAGGGCAGCAGGGTGCCCTTACGCACATTGCCCAGTTCCTTCTCACGCGCCAGCGCCCCCTGCTGCCCCCCTTTCACCCGCTTCCACTTCATCCTCCTGTTCTGGAACCAGACCTTCACCTGCAAAGTGAAAGAAAAGGAAATGACATCACAAAGTGCACAAGTGGCAGTGAGCCGTGGTTCTGCACTTCCTCTCTCGGAACATCATTCTCTAGTGAAAGACATGTGACACGAGGCCCAGGTCCTGACATCCGACCACCGTTGCTCACGAGTGACTCAGCGTATTATGGAGCTACGACGGCAAATCCTGCATCTGCTTCTGCATTTCTGACAGGCAGAAGGGAGTGTGGAATTATTAGAAATGTTTGTGACGTTTCTAAAGCTCTCCCTCCCCCACACGGCTGTGGGAACCTGTCCCCCCATTTGGCAGCTATTTCGACATCTGCAATTATGTGCTGATCGCAGGCTGTAGGTGCAGCTTGACACCGGCATTTCCTCTCGTCCGCTCGCTCGCTCGCTCAATGAGCCAGTCAGTATTTACATCCCCAGATTGATGATCAAGCTGTTGCCTAAAACGGCCGGTTCCTCGACTGTGAGAGTAGACCATGTTTGTTGGCGGGTGGGGGCAGGGGGCTTATTTTAGGGACAGTCCTGCCGTAACAGAGGCTCGTGGGACCCAAAAGTGATGACATTTGACTTTTCCGGCAAATTCCAGTTCTCAAACCTGAGTCGTTAAAAGCTTCTGCCTTTCTAATTCAGTGTTGAGCAGTATCGGAATTTGCAGTGTTACCTGAACACTTATCAGCGCCAAACAGTCCCAAACGGAAAGTAACATTTTCACATCACTAACATATGTTCCGATCTGCTTTACTAATGAATCTCACACTTCATACAACAGTGAAAAATCAGTGTTAGGACACTTGAACGGGCCGCCAGTTTACAGAGCTGAAGCGATGAGTCATGCAGTCACGGCCCACTGGACACAGTGATTTCACAGCTGCAGACTCTGCGTCTGTACTCTGTACATGTATTCTGACACTCGTAAAAGTGAAAATGACATGTATGCACGTCACGTGTGCACGCTTTCATTAATGCAACTGCAGCACATACAATGGTCAAGAACATTCTGGATTTTGTCATTCCACCAAAACATTTCATTTATTAACAGCACTAATACAATGTTCTACAGTATTATTGTTGATGTGGCCATATGCACATCACGATTACTGGCCTTTACTTATGTAGACTGCAGTTTTGAAGAATATTACGTGACACATAACGTTAAAAAGCAATACATTCGCAATTATGATTCAGTGGACGGATCCTTTAAAATATGTTTCACAGATTTACCGGCCAGCGAGTTTGAATGTGTGGATACACGCCCCAAAGACCGTAATAACCGGGATGTTCCTGGAAGAGGTTGTGGGTCATGTGACCTACACGGTATGCCTGTCAACCATACATTTACCAGCAGTGGAAATGTAAGTGCAATCAGGCAGCTTGTCTGTGGCGGCATTCCCGAGAGGTAATTACAGCTCCCGAGGACAGGTGACCCAGGAGCCTGCCTGCTTTTCTGCAGTGAGACTCCAAGCGTGACATGAGCAGCTGTGCTTGAGGCCACTGTAAGTGATTGTCCATTAGAAACACGGGAGTTTAAACCACAGGATCAATGACAAAATCCATGTGCAGATGAATCCCAACAGCATGCGTATGACCCAGGGACGGAATGGTAGGCGGGGCAGCCGTCCCAGGGACGGAATGGTAGGCGGGGCAGCCGTCCCAGTGGCGGAATGGTGGGCGGGGCAGCCGTCCCAGGGGCGGAATGGTAGGCGGGGCAGCCACCCCAGGGGCGGAATGGTGGGTGGGGCAGCCGTCCCAGGGGCGGAATGGTAGGCGGGGCAGCCACCCCAGGGGCGGAATGGTGGGTGGGGCAGCCACCCCAGGGACGGAATGGTAGGCGGGGCAGCCACCCCAGGGACGGAATGGTAGGCGGGGCAGCCACCCCAGGAACGGAATGGTAGGCGGGGCAGCCGA